GAAAGATTCACAAGTAAATTTTATTTTTAAAATAGTGTTTTTAAAATCCTGAGAAATAAGAGAGGTTAAGATATCCCTGAAACAAGAACAAGATGACATAAACAGGGAAGAATTAGAGAAAAGAAAGGCCTAGAAGGTTTATCATACACAGAGAAATGGAATAGAAAAAATAGATAGGATATTACCTTGACTTATTTGGATAAAGAATTTTGTGATAGAGATTGCTTACCAGGTGTCTATCCACTAAAATTAAAACAGTGCCAAAGCAAGGCACAGTACTGAAGCATTTAGAATGCTGGGATAAAAAGAAAGTATTAGAAGAACAAAAGGAAAAATGGTCACATGGGGTTCAGAAGCACAGCAGTCTTCTCAATAGCAACAGTGGGAGCTGAATAATATTGGAGGTGCACTTTAATATTATGAGCAAAATATCTATTTTTTAAACTAGAATTCTATAAGCAGTGAAATTATCAAATAAAATTTAGATGGAATAAAGGCATTTGATGTGTAATGAGCTCTAGACTCAAGTTATGTAGAAAGAAGGAGAAATATTTCTGATATAGAAGATACCCAAGAAAAACACATAGGATGCTGAAAGATGCCCATCCATTAACAGAGCAAAGGGAACAGAGATATGAAGATGACGTTTGCAAAGAGGCCTAAGGAGCACCCAGCCCAGTTGGATCAGGCCAGCAGCCTGGAGCCTCCAGGAAGGCTGTAGCCAGGATGGACTTCATACCTAAATAAAAATTTAGAGGAATTTAAACGTTCTGTTAGAAACTGCAAAAATAATTCATGATAGGTGTAGACAAACATAAAAGAAAAATTATTACTAACTCAAAGAAGAACACATATTGTACCAGAAAAATGTGCCTTCATAACATAACACAACTCACAGTCTATTTGCATGGTTACAATAATTCAAATTCTGAATATCAATATAACCAATGTTTCTGAAGTCATTGGGAGGACCAACAGAAGGAAAAGTGGAGGAGAGAAGTTGGGTCAGGGGATAGAAGTAGGGCAAATCATAATTTTCCAAAATGGGAAATCAAAATAATGTACAGTGGTGGAATAAGTACATATTTATAATAGAAATAAGGAAATAAGTCCCAGAAGAAATGTTTAAAATGAGGCTTGCAAGAATCTTTAAAAATGAGATGTATGTGTGCGTGCATGCGTGCGTGCATGCGCGTGCGTGTGTGTGTGTGTGTGTGTGTGTGTGTGTGTGTGCTGGAAAGTAAGGTGGGGAAGATTTTTTTTCATTATTAGTTTTATAATACTTCTAGGGTCTATTAGAAATCTGACATATAAAATATTTTTCATGTATTACTTTGATAAACATTTAAAAATCATTTGGAAAAATTTTTTGTGTTTTTTGTTTGTTTGTTTTTTTAATACCGGTTAAATTTTGTATAACAGATATCCCAAACCTAACCATTGTTATAAACTTAACTGTATAATTTAACTCTATAGTTTCTGTCTTCAGGATCTTGCAAATTTATGGGTTTTTTTTTTTTTTTTTTTTTTTTTTTGTGTGTGTGTGTGTGTTTTTTATTGATTTCAGAGAGGAATAGAGAAATAGAAGCAACAATGATGAGAGAGAATCATCCATCAAAGGCCTCCCGAACTCCCCCTACTGGGGACTGAATTTATACCTCAAGCATGGGCCCTGAGGAAATGAACCATGACCTCCTGGTTCTTGGGTCGATGCTCAATCACTGAGCCACACTAGCAGGGTCAGGATCTTGGGAATTTAATTGAAATATGTAAATTGGTATGGAGTATTCTACTTCTTACATTCATTTTAGATATAGGAAAGGAGAGAGAGAGAGAGACATCAATTTCCTGTCATCTGCAGGTGCCTGATGGGGGATGAAACCCTCAATCTAAGTATGTGCCCTAACCAGAAACTGAACTCACCACCTTTTGGTATATGAAATGATGGTCCAACTAATGGAGCCACACCAGACATGGGGAGTATTCTTTATAAAGATATCTAAACCCTCCCATCTATTTTAGGATTTACACTATGATACCTGTTTATAAATTTTAGACTTGGATGTTATTTTACATTAAAGGAGAACAGAGTAAATGATTCATAGAGTATGCTATAGTAACATTTTGAACATTACATTACATTGATCATATCTTTGTCTAAAGGGCAGATCTTTAAAATATAAATTGTAATTTTCAAGCTACAAAAGATCTAAGTCCAAGACCACTTATAGAGAATCAAAATATTTGGGGTTGGATATTATATTAGTAAAGACCCTTTATTCTTTTCATTGTTTTTCTTGCTATTTATAAGTATATCATATTTTGGAACAATTAAATATTATCATTATAATACTTTTTCTGTATTACATGTCTTAAAGTAAATATGGGGTTGCAAAGGATATTTTAAAGCTTCCTATAACTACAGTGGTTATATTATCCAGATTTTTGGTTGTTCTTGAAAATCTTCCCCTGAGAATATTTTTTCTATTGACTTTTTTTTTCTTTTTAAGGAGAGAGAATAGAAGGGAGAAAGAGAGAGAGAAAGAGAGGAAAAAAGAAAGAAACATTGATGTGAGAGACACATAGATGGAATGTTTCTCACACGCACCCCGCCTGGGCCTGGGACCAAACCTGCAACCCAGGTATATGACCTGGAGCAGGTCAATGCTCTAACTACTAAGAGACACCAGCCAGGGCAATAGCTATATTTTTTTAAAAGAAGATTTTCTAATACATGAAAATAAAGTTGAGAGAGAGTGGGGGGAGAGAATGTAACCAGTTTTGCTTTTCTAAACTTAGATCAGAGTTTATAATTCTAACAATGATGAAATATAAAGAGGTTTAAAAGTAAACCTGTCCTGGATGCAAAAGCATCAAAATAAAATAAAGAAGGCCTCATTATACAGAACACACTAGTTATTTTATTTTCTCTAAGAATTGGGGAATCTCAGGCAGTACTTGTCACATCCTTGGTTAGACCATCGCTACTGTTTTTATCTTCTATTTCTTGGTTTGGATGTGTGTGGTATTTTTTTTTTTCTTATCAATAATGGAATTTTAGTTTTCCTCCACAACTTAATATTGTACTTGTAACCCTTTAGGTCAGTTCTGACTAGTTTACACCATCAGATAAATGTTTCTCAGCTTCCTAAATCAATTCTTCCAGAGAAACTGCCTCTAGACAAATCCAATCTCTTTGGTTTATAGCTATTTTCAAAATAATTTAGAAGTCACCCTGTAACTCCTGACATGTTTAGGGATCTCCTGGACTTCTCATCACATCTTTAGGTAAATATTTTATAACACAATCACAGTTTGGTAAGTCTAATTGCTCAGGTAATAAGATTAAACACTTTCAAATTCCTCCAGAAAGCAATGAATACTGCTGTAATGCAACATTTTTGTGACCCAAAGCTGTGGTAGTTATGGAAAAACAGCATGAGTGTTTCTTGTGGGTTTTCAGTGCTCATGCTCAGTGACCAATAATTTTGTATATGGCCAAACAAAACTGCATTTTATTCATTACAGAGTGGAACACGTTTTGGGACTCATAGGTGACTGCATAAATTTTACGAAAAAACGGATGCTTGTCTATGCTCTGAAGGACAGCAATTTACATGCATACTTGAATAATTTTATTTTACTCTTCAATTCCTTTCATGGATGATGAGATTTCTCCTGGTTTTGTCATTTGGGACTTCAAGATGCTTAGTGTCTGCAAGGAGTATTACCAGAGATTACTTATACTCAGAGTGATTGAAGAGAGGGGCTTGCACTCTGTGGCATATTCATAAAGCACCCCCTGATGCTAAAAATGGAATTGCAATAATAACAAAGCTGGTTTTTGCATTATGGTACTCTTTTACCCTATGGGGTGGCACTTCCCAAACTAAAATGAAGTTTATTTAGGGACTTATTCAGAATCCAGTTGCTACCTTCAGAGAGAGGTGTTCTGGATTAATGGCAAAAAAAAAATCAAAAAAAAAAATCATACTGTGCATAGAACCAGGAGTCTCTTACTGTTACACAAAAAGAGTACTTTAAAAATATCACAATTATCTCTTATAGGTTGGAAAGAAAATCACATGTCTTTGCAATAGTTAATTTTTATTAAGATACAGATATTAATACATTTAAATATGCTTAAGTACATGTGTGCATATGTGCATGCATGTGTGCAGTTGTGAGTGTGAATATACATAATATATATCTCCATACAGAGATTTGAATGGGATTTTGTCTTCGTAAGGAATGTTTCATTTTCTAGTATCTTTAGAATTCTTGTTTTCTATCATTTTTCTTACAATATTCCACAGCTGCCCTAACTTTTGTTTACTTGGCCATCTTTATTATCCACAACTTTCTCCTTCTTAATGCTTTCTCCACTATTTCTGTGATACATATCTGTCAGGTTTTAACTGATAAATTAAACCTTCAGCTAAAGAGTCCTTTGGTCCTTAAAGTTGAAGAAACATAAATATTATAACAAAATAGTTTTTTCTTTCTTTCTAATTTTCTTTCTAGTTTTTCAATAATCAGCTAAAATTCCAAATACCTCAATTTGAAATTTTAAAAGTAGAAAAAAAGTAAAACATCTTTGTATTAAAATCTCTAACTTAAGGGAAAAACACCCTTTGTCTTGCACATAATAGATACTTGTTAAATTCATCATAGACTAAGTGATAAACTTTAGGATATAATATCTCAAATAGATTTTGAAAAAGTACAATTATTTATATTATGATGAAAGGCAAACCTGTATAAATACGAGAATAGAGTAGGTGGATTAACATTTCAAATGTCTTCTTTTTCTTCCCATCAAAGATTCATCTTGGAGACAGAAACAAAACAAAAAAAATGGACAATTCCAGCCTGTCACTGCTTACCATAAGTCATAAAAAATTGTCTCTATATGGCCTGTGTTTAGTAGTAATAAAAAACACTTCAAAACAAAGGGGAAAATGATAAAATAGCAATTTGTAATTAAAAGAGAGTTTTACCAAAAACAGTCAGCTCTGCTGGATCACTGTCTCTTTCTCCCACCATATTGGTGCCAACACAGGTGTACATCCCTGCATCACTTTTCCTGGTATTGGAGATCATCAATTTTCCACCACGGATCTATTAAAACACAAATAAAAATAAAAAAGGGAGAAAAAGAATGGAAAGGAAACTTCACTAATAAATAATTTTGAATAATTAAGCCTGTTTGTCTTTCCTAAAGGAAATAGCTCTGGAGCTAGGACTTAAAACTCTCCCATTATTTTGACATCTGCATGTGCCCTTTTTTTTTTTTCTCTTAAATTCTCCTCCAAAATAAGCTTCCAATTCCATTTCTATAGAATGGTTCTTTAAGGTAGACTTCATCTCCTGCCTGGTCTATTTTGTGTGTTGTGGCTGTCCCCATAAAATACCAATGTTTGGTCTTCACTCTGTGATTTGGTTGAATGAACCACTATTGACTTTGTTGTCAGAAAGGAGCACCAGGTATTTGCTTTGGATAGTAAAATTAATCCAACTGACTCAGAGGGACTCCACAAGTCTTTATTGAATACCTATCTCTACAGGCTGGGCAGTTTTCTAGGCACTTGGGATTCAGTAGTAATCCAAATATAAAAATGCTTGCCTTCTTGGAGCTTACTTTTAAATTGTGTGTATTATCTTTGTCTCATCTTAATTTTAATTATGAGAAAATTTTTGAAGAATAGAAAGGTATGAATAAAAACAATTCAAATTTTTGGAATGATGCCTATGAGTTGTTACATTTTTTTTTAATAGCTTCTCTCTAGATGTCTTAAGTCAAAAGCATGTATTGAATTAATAAACATGTAATCTTGTTTAAATGTGTATCTGTTAAAGAGGAAGCTAAGTGAGAATTAGGTTTTCAGTAAGTTTATCATTAACTCATAGTTTGTTTTCCAATTTTGCTGATTTTTAAAATTTTATTTCCCTAATCTAACAATCTTCATTCACTTGACAATGACTGACTGTTTTTAAAGAGATAAGAGTTAAGAACATGCTCTTTTTCTTTGTTAATTTTTAAATTCATAGGCAAACCACCCTAATATAGTTATCTTCTCACTAGAGATATTTCTAGCTTTAAAATCTGTCAAGTTGCCGAAACCGGTTTGGCTCAATGGATAGAGCGTCGGCTTGGGGACTGAAAGATCCCGGGTTCCATTCGGGTCAAAGGGCATGTATCGGATCTAGTAATAATTAATGTCGTTTTTAAACATTTGTTTAAAATCTTGCTTGGCGTTGACGTTGACTTGTATTGACATAACTTTCAAACACGTGGTATCTACAGAACGTGTGAAGTGCAGTTAACAAGTTTTGCTTGAAAAAGTTTGTGTTTGGTTTGGTTTTTGTTGCAAAACTAGGGCTAAGAAGATGGCGGATGAAGAGCATATTCGGCACTGCATGCTTTACGAGTTCCAATTAGGAAGAAAAGCAAGTGAGGCTGCAAAAAACATCTGTAGTGCTCTTGGTCAAGATGCAGTTAGCGCCAGAAAATGCCAGTGTTGGTTTGAGAAATTTCGCGAGGGAAATTTTTCGTTAGATGACAAGAGTGGTTGAGGCCGTGTGTCCAATTTTGATCAAGAAGCTCTTCAAGCTCTTTTGGTGCAAAATCCTCAAATTACCCAACAAGAGCTTGCGACAACTTTAAATTGTTCACAAAAAACAATTTCCAATCAATTGCGTGCACTTGGCAAAGTCCAAAAGTTTGGAAAATGGGTTCCTCATGAGTTGACCGACAACAACCGTAATCAAAGAGTCACAATTTGCAGTTCGCTCCTCTCTTGTCAAAACCGTTTGCCGTTTTTAGAGCAAATTGTTACCGGAGATGAACAATGGGTGCTGTATGTTCATTTGAAAAGGCGGCCTCAATGGTTGGACAAAAATGAGGCTCCGCAGCCCATGCCAAAACCTGACTTGCATGAGAAAAAAGTGATGATGTGTGTTTGGTGGAATTTTAAAGGAATTCTTCATTATGAACTTTTACCATCTAACCAAACCATTACAAGTGCAGTGTATAGTGCCCAATTGGAAAGGTTAGCCCAAGCTTTAAGAGAAAAAGAACCCGCGCTGATTAATCAGAAGGGCATAATTCTTCACCATGATAACGCACGACCGCATACTGCAAGAATCACTGCTGAAAAACTGCGCCAGTTGGAATGGGAAGTTCTCCCTCAACCTGCATATTCTCCTGATATTGCCCCTTCTGATTACCATTTGTTCCGTTCTTTGCAAAACTTTCTTCTTGGAAAAAAATTTAATAATGAAGAATGCCTTAAAAATGCATTGACCGAATTTTTTGCATCAAAATCACAAGAATTTTACAACAGAGGGATTAAAATGCTTCCTGAGCGTTGGGCACAAGTAGTAGAAAACAACGGCAACTATATTGTTGATTAAATTTTGTTGTATTGTTTAAATAAATTCGATTAAAAAAAGTATTAGAAAACGACATTAATTATTACTAGACCTAATACCTTGGTTGCGGGCACATTTCCATTATGGGGTGTGCAAGAGGCAGCTGATCGATAACTCTCTCTCTCATCGATGTTTCTAACTCTCTCTCTCTCCCTTCCTCTCTGTACAAAAATCAATAAAATATATTTAAAAAATAAAATAAAAATAAATAAATAAAATAAAATCTGTCAAGTTATAGAAAGGCATTTCCTACTTTATTTTCTTATAACCTGGGAAGACTTTCAACATGTTCTCAGTTATATACAGTATAGCATAATAAAGTCGACATTATAAAAATGGTGATGGAGGCAATTTCTTCTCCCCTTGAGGCTGCATTTGGCAATATGGCCTGATTTGATCAATGAAACTAAAACAATTTTTCACCAGAAGGAAGGTACATGGACATTGGGACTTGCCTTCTTTTGTTGCAGCTGGAACCCTGGGACCACAATGGGGACCAGCCTGAATCAGCCTGATGGACAATGAGAGACCATGAGGCAATGAAGATGCCCAGCTGAGAGTCTGTCAATTGCCAGATGTGTTGTGAGGTTATCCTAGATCATTCATCTGTCAGCACATCTTTAAATAAGCCACAGAAGCATGAGGAAGCCTTGCAAACATCAAATATGCTGGGCCAGAGTGAAGCACTATCAGTTTACCCACAGAATTGTATATCTATATATATAAAGAGCCAATGTCCATAACATCCCAAATGAACAAAGGCTAGAACAAACGCCAGGCTGCACATATAGCATGCCAAGCGGGCTGAACTGCTAACCTCTCAGGGAGAGAGATGTGGGCCTGATCAGCAGCACTAATGGCTTCGCCAGCAGCCAAGTCTCTCTCTCTCCCAGAGGTCAGCAGTTCAGCCCACTCACCAGTAGCCTCAGGTGGCTGCTGATCAGCTCTGTCTCAATGATCAGGCCTGGAGATGCTGACTGACATAGAAATAGACCAATCAGAACCAAATATGGGTGAAGTGTGAGGAGCCAATGGCTGCCTAGGAAGCAGAGCTTTTGATACTGACTGGCATAGAAACCTACTGATCAGAACCTACTCTGGATGAACTGTGAAGGCAGAACCTAAGGTGGGGACTGAGGAGAAGTTTTAAGGGCAACAGCTGTTTGGTGTAAGGCAATGTTTCCCAAAGTGTGGTATGCGTACCTCCAGAGGTACGGGAAGAGTTTGGTGGGGGTACGCGTTGCACTGGAGTTTGGTGGGGATATGCACTGCACCGTGCTTAGCTGCGCCTAATTCTATGTTCTCATGAGTATGAGGGTACTAAGTGTTACAAAAATTATAGAAGGAGTACACATATGTCAAAAGTTTGGGAAACACTGGTGTAAGGTATAAGATTCAATTTTTTAATGACTGGTTTGGCAGTATAGTGCATATGGCTGGCCATCAGTCCAGGTATAAGGATTATGTGTTTTTATCCGCGAGGAGCATCTCTTCTGCTGAAAAAAGATTTTCCCCCTACCCCCATTTAAGCAATCCTATCCTATATAATTTATCTGTACTAATAAAAGGGTAATACGCTAATTAGACCAGGTCAACTGGCCATCTTCCAGATGTCTGACTTCCTTCCTGACAAAGCCATGGTGGCGGGGGCTGAGGCCAAGGCAGTTAGGGGTGATCAGGCTGGCAGGGGAAGGTGGTTGACAGTGAGATCAGGCCGCCAGGGGAGGGCAGTTAGGGGTGGTCTGGCAGCCAGGCAGGCAGAGGCAATTAGGGGCAATTAACGCAGGCAGGCAGAGAGGTTAGGGACAATCAGGCAGGCAGTGGGGCAAGGTAGGGGCAATCAGGCTGGCAGGCTGGCAATTAGGGTTTAGGGGCAATCTGGCAGGAAATAAGGTAAGTTATTAGGTGCCAGTCGTCCCAGATTGCGAGAAGGATGTCTGACTCCGGCAGTCGGATAACCCCCAAGGGGTCCCAGATTGGAGATGGTGCAGCCAGGCTGAGGAAACCCACTCCATGCATGAATTTTGTGCACCAGGCCTCCAGTAGTCTAAATAAAATGGTTACTAAAAGCCACTGTGGTTGAGGTGGTTTGTTACAAAGCTAAAGCTAAATGATACTAACATGAGCTAGAAACCCTTGAGCATTGATTTTATTCCTTCATCTGGAGCACATTTTCGTAACTTGGTACCCTAGCAGACACCATTACCAAATAAGTTCTCCAGTGCATTGTAGATCCTCAGAGTTCAAGACAGAATAACATATATACATGCTGTGATCTCCTACATGGCTTATTTGGTTCTGTGTTATGATGCAATCACAATGTACACATAATAAAAAAATATATTTATTAGATATTTTTAGAGATAATAGACACTTAGACTACAGGAACTTTTGATAGAAATGGAACATTTTTTCAGTTAAATGAGATATTATTTTTAAAATATTCATTCTCAATTATTATACTCAGTGTAATTCTCAAAAATTACACTAAAGATGTCAGAATGTTAATGCATTATCTATTATTTTAGTAGACTGTTTTTCACAAACTTCATGTCCAAATCTTGAGTAGACCCTCTGAAAAAATAAAATAATTGTATGCTATTACTTTATCTACCACTTTACCATTTTCTGGGTGTTTTATTTTGAATATTATTAAACTGATGCAGCTAATTACTACTTTCCCTTAAAAATATACTATTTTTCTATAAGGGCTAAAGTGCAGAACCAGCCATTCATTATTATTTTCATTTTACTTTATATCTCTAAACTTTTAAATGAATTCATGTATGAAAATTTGATTATAAATATTATTAAATTGGAAAAGTGCTTGGAGTATTTGTCACCTTAAATTATAAATTCATTTTATAATTTTTAAAATAATGCAAAAAGAAATACCTTAGTTAATATGGTTTATGGCTATCATTTATACTTTAACAATCACATGCTGCAGATGCATTTGAAGATCTTAAAAAGAGCAGAGACTACAATATTGAGCTGCAAATATATATTTACATACTCAAGTTGGTGCAATTCTATTTTTTACTGTTTTGTTCATTTTTATTTTTATTATTTTTATTTATGTTTAATCTTTATTGTTGAAAGTATTACATATGTCCCCCTTTTCCCCCCAATGACCCTTTAGCCCTACCTCCATACCCCCAAGCCTTTACCAGCCTATTGTCAGTGACTATGGGTTATGTACACTACTATATTCATACAAGTTCTTTGGTTGATATCTTCCCACCCACCTACCCTCCCCAGCCTTCCCTCTGAGGTTCCACAGTCTGTTACATGCTTCTATGTCTCTGGATCTATTATGTACACTTGATTTATATAATTTTTCTTTTTGAAACCTCATTCCAAAGATATTGTTTTTGGTTCCCTCTTTTCAGTCCTTTCAGTACAGGGTAAAAGGTAGTTAGTATTCAAATGCAATTTGACAATTTTATTCACAGAATAAAATATATCAATTTTAAGACTTGAAATTCAGTTTCTCTAGGCATTCATCTTAATTTCACTCACACTTATTCTTTCATCCTTGTCATCAATTCGAACTTTGTCTTTCTTCCAGTAGATGGTGGGTTCGGGATGTCCTCGGGGGGGCTGGCACTCCAGGATGGCAGGCTCTCCAGCTGCCACCACAACGTCTGTGGGATTTTGCCGGAAGTCATCTCGTAACACTGAAGGAAAACAATTGTAGTGAAAGAAAATTCAATAACAGCCTCATCTCTTACAAAGGTAACTTAAAGACTCATTTACTTTGTTCGAAAAAAGTTACCAGAGTGACTACATAAGCATGCCCAACTTACCAAACCTAGAATCAACCTAAGTGTTCATTAACAGGAAAATGAATAACTGTGATAATGCACCTTTGCTATAAAATCTGACTTAAAAATAAGGTAAGTCTGAGGAAAAAAAGGGTAGAAATGTTCACGATATAGTTCATAAATAATTACATTATTCATAATAAAACTCAAAGTACAAAACTTTATGTAGTATGATCCTATCTTCTATTTAAAAAGCACACATACATATGTATATATAAACATATTAAAATAAATGGTCAAATTATACTTAAAACACTGAAACAAGCTGGGTTCACCACTGTGAACAGGAAGGCGGATCTTTCTGGGAGGGGAAGTGGGAGAGAAATCTTTGAGAAAGGCCTTTCTCCTGACATGAATATGGACATGATCCACATTGTTTTCATTACACTTCAGAAGATGGACTCATTGTTCACCCTTGCAACACTCCAGCACCCACACACACAGGGCTACATTTTCATTCTCTCTGCTTCTCCACCTGCCGAGCGACATCTGGGCAGCGTGGCATTCGGAGCAGAGATATCCCTTATAGCAGTTTTGCCAGCCTGAATTCCCCTCCTTTCATTAGGAGAACAGCAGGTTGGACCTCTGCTGTAACCTCTGAAAATCTGGCATGCCTGGCTCTCCAAATGTCACCTATCTATCTGTGTGCACTCTCCTTCTGCTGGCAACCTGAAAAGCCTGGAGAAATAACTTTGTCTATTAGATCGCAGATGCTGAGTTTATTTAGCAAATAAAGGCAAACATTCACAAAAATAGTTGATAACAGTTCATACATCACATACCTCAACTGCCTCTCTTTTCCCTAACTTCCTTGACTTTTTTATTCTTTGATATTCCAACACAGACAAGTGTGCTTCCTAAGTGTGCCTATGGGTAAAACAAATAAATATACTCACACAAATATAGATGTGTGTTTATGTATATATAGCATATATACATATACACATACTAGAGACCTGGTGCACAAAAATCTATGCACTAAGCAGGGCAGGGGAAGGGGAGGTCCCTCAGCCTGGCCTGTGCCCACTTGCAGTCTGGGACCCCTTGGGGGATGTCCACCTGCCCACTTAGGCCTGCTCCCTGGGGGGAGTGGGTCTAAGCCATTAGCCAGACATCCTTAGCACTGCTGCACTGGCCAACCATGAGCTATTTTTTGGCTGAGTGCAGCTTCCCTGTGGAAGTGCACTGACCACCAGGGGGCAGCTCTTGTGTTGAGCGTCTGCCCCCTGGTGGTAACTGTACATCATAGCAACTGGTTGTTCCCCTATTAGGGTCGATTTGCATATCACACTTTTACTATATAGGGTACATATTATATACACATATACTATAGTCAGGCGTCTTCAAACTATGGCCCGCGGGCCACATGCGGCCCGCAGAGGAGTCTGATCCGGCCCGCCAGGTTTTTTGGGCAGTGAGCGCAGCCGAGGTGTTACAGTAGGAATTAGTAGTTCATATAGTCCGGCCCTCCAGCTCTCTGAGGGACCGTGATCTGGCCCCCACTTTAAAAAGTTTGAGGACCCCTGCTAGATATATGCACATGTATGTATATACTTACAAATTGGCCAAGCTATTTGAAATAAAAATTAATGCTGTAATGCTGTAAATGTGGATTAGACCAAACAGCTTTGGTGTCTTGTAATGAGGCCCACTTCATCACTTTGCCATATATATATATATATATATATATATATATATATATATATATATATATATATAATTTCAGAGAGGAAGGGGGGAGAGAGAATATGAGTGAGAGAGAGAGAGAGAGAGAGAGAGAGAGAGAGAGAGAGGAAACCCCTACTGGGGATCTGAGGATGGAGCTCACACCTCAAGCATATGCTCCAACTGGAATTGTACTGTGACCTCCTTGTTCATAACTCAATGCCAAAAAAACTGAGCCACTGTAGCTGGGCATCACTCTGCTTCTTGGTTGGGCCGTGCATCCAGGCTCATTGTCATGCTCCAAATAAACAGAAGTCCCCCATCCTGAGAATAACTGCAGAGACACCTGGGTGACTTGAGGGCTTTTCCTGTCTCTTGCAAAACCTCCTCTAACAGGGTTTTCCATCTTAATGAAGTCAGCACTCTGAGATTAGAGAACCTTGTCTCCTATTGAAGGGGCAGTAAGAAACTGTTCAGCACAAATTGCTTGCTCTCAGTTTATAAACTGATTAATTTGCAGCTTTCACCGGTAAGGAAATGTGTTCCATTTTAGCAAGGTTCCCTTGTCTAACTTGCAGGAAAGGTGTGATTTATTTGCTTAAGGATTTGCTTTTGAATGAGCTGAGAAATGTGCATTTCAATGTGACATTCTGGCAGGGGAGATCAGAAGAGGTTTGTGGTTCCCTCTTCCAGGTAAATCCTCCAGGGAGAGCAAGCTGGTGACTCATTTATATTCTAAATACAGAACAGCTGCCTACTTATGCAATGTTAAGACATGCAAAAATATGGTAACAGGGTGGTGAGCACCCCTACAATATACAGTGCTGGCAGCAAATGGTGTTTTGGCAGGCCCTCAATCTGTTTCAATATGACACATCTGGTCAGTGGAAGGACCTTCTCCAGAACTGGTCTCTTAACAAATGATATGCCAAAAAGCCTCTACTCAAATGGTCCTTAGGACCATCGCAAATCATTCAGATACACAGTGTGTTACATCAATTTGCAACAAGATTAATTAAGAAAAAAAGCTCCTTTGACCTGAGGGACAAAAAAGAGAAAAATACCATAGCAAAAATAAAGTCTGTTCCTCTTAAACAATATAACATGTGTTTATGGCAGTCACGAAAAAAGAAAATGACTCCATTTGCAAATGAAACCAAGAAATCAAATATCAGCTGTAATTTTAGGCTTTTACACTATTCACCCAGAGAGTAAGATGAGATAATAAGATAATTGGTGCTGTACATGCTTCAACTTGTAAAATGCTCTTTGGGGTTTGCACAGTATCAGTTAATTCATTTTTTGCTTAGCGATATTATTTCTTTTACTCTAAGTCTTTGGGATAATAAAATGTAACATCTCTCTTTCTTGTAAATAAAACATTGACTAGAAAACATCCTTTTCAGCAGGTTCTACCATGGCAAACAGGGAATTTGCTCTTAGGAAAAAGTAAAGTCATTTTTACTCTTTAAGTTTTTAAGAAGAATATATATGTTCTGATATTTATTTATATCTTTCTGAGGTTTGTATATCCACTTATAAATGTAAGCAAGGTAAAATAAAATAATATTTATTATTTCCAAATTTTGAGTTAATTATTCATTTCTGATTTTTCCCTGTGCTTAATTGCAGGTGATAAGGCATAGAAGGTATTCTCTATAGTAAAGAATTCTATGGATGAAAAGAACTAAAATGGTCGTGTAAATCTAGGGAGAAAGTCTAAATTATGTCTATTTTTTCTCTTTAAGCTCTTATTATAGAAAGAGCTGAAAGCTGCTTTAAAAAAAAATCTTTACTGTTGAAAGTATCTCCCATAATAAAAGCCAAATATGCAAATTGACTCTCACTCCAACACTTAAGATGCCTGCCCCCATGGGGACACAAGATGGCCGCCACAAGATGGCTGGCAGAGGAGGGCAGTTGGGAGGGACAAGGGCTGCAAGGGAGGTCAGTTAGGGGTGACTGGGCCAGCAGGAGAGGGCAGTTAGGGATGACCAAGCCTGCAGGGGAGAGTAGTTAAGGGCAATCAGACCAGCAAGGGAGCAGTTAGGCGTCAATAAAATTGGCAGGGAAGTGGTTAGGGGGTGATCAGGCTGGCAGGCAGAAGTAGTTAGGGGCAATCAGACAGGGAAGCAGGTGAGCAACTGGGAGCCAGCAGTCCTGGATTGTAAGAGGGATGTCCGACTACCAATTCTGGGTGGATATTATTGGATTTACATAGCAGTAAATCCAATAAATGGCCAGTCAGTCAGACATCCTTTGAAGGCTCCCAGATTGGAGAGGGTGCAGGCTGGGCTGAAGGACACCCCTCTGCCCCCGTACACAAATTTCATGCACTGGGCTTCTAGTTACATATGTTTCCCCTTTCCCCCCATTGACCTCTTCTAACCCCTCTCCACATCCTAAGCCTTCATCATCCTATTGGCTGTGTCCATAGCTTATGCATATATGAACAAGTTCATTGGTTGATCTCTTCCCACCTACCCACCCTCCCCCACCTGCCCTCTGAGGTTCCACAGTTTATGACATGTTTCTTTATCTTTGGATCTATTTTGTTCATCAGTTTATTTTGTTCATTGGATTCCATATAAAACTACAATAATATCATGTGATACTTGTCTTTCTCTGATTGGCTTATTTTGCTTAGCATAGTATTCTCCAGGTCCCTCCATACTGTCTCAAACAGTAAGAGAGCCTTCTTCTTTTTTTATTGCTGCACAGTATTTCATGGTATAAATGTACCACAGCTTTTTTACCTACTCATCTACCGATGGGCACTTGTACTGTTTCCAAATCTTAGCTATTGTAAATTGTGCTGCTTTGAACATAAGGGTACATACATTCTTTCTGCTTGGTGTTTCAGGTTTCTTAGGATATATTCCCAAAAGTGGGATGACTGGTTCAAATGGAAGTTTCATAATTAATATTTTGAGGAAATGTCATAGTGTTTTCCCTAGTGTCTGCACCAGTCTGCATTCCCACTAGCAGTGTACTAGGGTTCCTTTTTCTCTACATCCTTGCTAGCACTTGTCATTTGTTGATCTGTTGCCCCTGGTTACCTGAGCCTCCAGCGGCACTGGGTGTTAGGGCAGTTGCCATTCTAGGCTTGTCTGCACCTTGGGCCAGCCTTGAGTGGATGGGGGGCTGAGGAACCTGGGTACTCTGGAGGCAGGCAGTGGAGTGTCCAG